AGACACTAGACAGGTAGGGCAGTGGGTGGAGAAAGGCAATACTGCCCTAGAAAGTGCCATAGGTCTCAAGAGGAAGATACTATCACATCTTGAAAATCCAAGAAATTTCATGGAGTGACGTTTGAGAGTGATCTTTGAAAATTAATGCTGCTACTGCTGTTGATGTTGATGATGACAATGATTATGATAACTAATATTACTGAGTACATACTATGTTCCAGATACTGGGTTAAGCACTCTTTTTAATGTTTGCATTATATCAATGCTCATAACAAGCCTTGAGCATAAGGTTAGTGTTTCCATTTTACATTGTAAAATGTATTTGCCCAAGGTCACTTAATAAGTGGTAGAACTAGGATTTGAACCAGTAGGATGAGGTTAAGAGGCTCCAAAGAGATGGGGATATCATGTACAAATGGCCAGAGTTGTTTGGAAAGAATATGTGCTGTGGGGCCTGGCTGAAGCAGAGCCACGTTCAAGGGATGGGAAGTGAGAGGCAAAAAAGGTAGGTACTAGATTGTGCAGGACTTGAAGGTCAGAACAAGGACTCTGATTGGCTTCACAAGGCCATGGGGAACCATTGCAGGTATGTTTGAATGAACAGATCTGCCCTTTAGGAAGATTTATTGAATAACTATGCAGAGGATGGATGAGAACAGGGAGAGAGACAGTTAGAGGTTATGTGCAAATCCAGAACCTCTAGGCCTGAACCAAAGCATTAGCAGCAATAGGAAAGAGGAGGGTGAGGATGCTGGGAGCATTGCAAAGCTACAGTCTCCGTGTCTACACGGAGTTGTACTCACCAAGCCCTGGTGTGATTTGCTGTGCAGTGTCTACCCTCCCCAAACAACTGAACATTGTAAGATAAAGCACTGGGACGCCCTCATTCTCTTCCATAGTCCTAGCATCCAAAACAGGATGTGGCAGAGTAGATACTCAAAGTATTCAGTATGAGTAAGTGARTGAATGAACCGATGACTGACTCTGGCATCTTCATTTAAAGCAATCAGAACAAAGAATGCTGGAGGAAAAAGATGGTTGGGTGGAGGAGGCAAGAATGAGATTGATTTCTGGACAGATTGAATTGGAGATGACACATATAATAACATGCAGTAGGGAGTTAAATGTGCAGGTTTGGGAAAGAAAAATAAAAATCAGTGATAGATGAGACTCCCAGGGAGTCAGTGGGGAGAGGAGGTGTAGTGGGGAGGAGAAGAAGAGAGTTTACTTCGAGAATGTCTACATAAAGGAAAGGAAAGAAGCCAGCAAAATTGAGAAAGACTCATCTGAGAAGTAGAGTGAAGACAGCAAGAGCACTGTGTCATAGAATTCAGGAGAAGATGGAAGAAGACTGAAAAAAGTTGGAATGTAGTCATCATTAGCATCTGATGCTATGGAGGGAAGGTGGAGGAGGGCTTTGAAAACACTCCTGCTCTGGCCTTTCGGGAGCTTCTTGGCCACTTTGGTTAGGGCAGCTGGACTGAAACAGAATGGCAGATCTCTGGACTCACGGAGGGGTAGGGCTTGAGCAGAAGGTGAAGAAGTGGAGACACCAAGTTTAGACCCTTTCATCAAAACATTAGAGGGCAGAGATCAAGGAAAATTCGGGGTTCAAGGAGGGAGTTGGAGAAGGAGGGAATAATTTGGAGAGGAGATTGAAGATGTAAGGAACAGGAACAGATGGATGGACCAAGGAGGAAGGTATAAAGAGAGAAAACCCAGAGCACAAGTAAATGGATTGGCCTCAGCCAGAGGAGGAGACTCTGGGAGTTAGGAGAAGGGAGGTTGCAAGAGCTCACAACAGCTGAAGATTCATCATTTTGGTAACTGCCACAATTTACTGAGCGCTTCATTGCCAAACACATCCTGCAAGTTATTTTTAACCCTTCAAAGTGGTAGTATAATCCTCATTTTTTAATGAAGACCTAATATCCAAGAAATGAGATGAGTTCCTATCACACAATTAGAAATGTAAGACCTTGGGGCCTGAGTCAGTGAGCCTGACCTCAGAGCTGATATCCCTTGGCTGCCACAAGATGTGAGAGGAAAGTTACCTGCTGAGAGGGAGGGGTCAGGAATAGGTTGGGCCTTAAAAAGTGGAAAGTTGGTTAGGAGAGTCTCAACAGAATAAACAAGAGATTGCCTAATTCAGAGGGCCACACTGGGATTGGGTGGTGGGTTTTGAGGAAGACCCAAGAAGATGGCCCAAGTAATCCCAGAAGGCTAAGTAGCAGCCACCTTGAGCACTAAAGACATAAGCATTGAAAAGACTCAATCCTTAAAAAAAAAAAAAAAAAAAAAAAAAAGACTCAATCCTTGAGTAAACATGCTTTGCAAATTCAGTGTTTGCTGAATGAATGCATGAAAGCAGAGGTATCTGGAAAAAGAGATGGTTTGATGATGGATGGCATGATGAACTTGAATAGTGCCCTTAAAACACCCAGAGGGAGGTGTCCATGAGGTATCCTTATTCATCACCTATTTCCCTACACACCCATGCACACACACACACATACACACCCCTCAGAATGTAATCTGCACGAAGGCAGGTTTTGTATCTTTTGTTCACTGTTATATCCCCAATGCTTACCATATCAACTGGCACACAGTAGAGGCTCAGCTAATGCTGGTTACATGAACAAAAATGGCAATCTAGAGCCCCGATAAGAAAGAAGTCTAGGTGCCATCGGTACCAGTGGTCATTAAAGCCCCCAGAGGGGATGTGTTCTTCCAGAGAAAGGCTAAAAATTAAAAAAAGTCGGCGGGGGGAGAAGTTGAGGTCAGAGTCCTGGGGAACAAGTTTATATAAGGACAGAAGGAAAAAGAGGAGTTGGTAAAAGAAAAAGAGCAACGAGGAGGGAAGGGAAGAGCAGTAGGAGATGAAATGGAGAAAGACCTAAGGCACAGAGCCAAGGCAGGGAGGGGTGTGGAGATAGAGAGGAGAGGGGATTGAAGGTACATTGGGGAGGTCAGCAATTCAAATGCAGCAGGAGAGCTCTAGCAGAAGCAAAGGAAAAGGGACTGGAGGATCCTCTGTTCCCAAAGAGAATTGCCAGAGCCACACAACAAGTTGGGAATGAGGCTGGAAACAAAGCCCAGGTGTCCTGCCTACCAACTTGAAACATCTCAAATTAGAGTCCTGCATCTTCCACCACCACCTGGTAATTCCTTGAGCTCCATGAAACACTGAGTAAAACTCAAGTGTTCCTGAAATCACTTCATTATTACACTGTTCCTTTCCTGTTCTTACAAATGAAGTCGTTTCTCAAGGCCCTAAAGTCCATCGAAAATATTTTGACTGAGCTGAGCAAACTCCAAACTCAGATTTCTGAGTCAAGGTGGGTTCACTTGCATTTCCTGGAAAGCATATTCCTTTTTTGGCTTAAATGCAGTCCCCCTAAATATAGTGTCCGCAGTAGCTAACATTTTATGGGCTCCAGCTACACACCAGGCATTTGATCAGGATTCTCTTTTCTCTTTCAGACATCAGTACAAAGGTAGCCTTAATATTCCTCTGTCTTTCAGGGAACAAACTGAAGCTTTCCCAGGGAATCATAGCAGTGTTATAGCTAGGATTCTGAACCAATTGTGTTTGATAGATGCCAAAGTCCCCAGGGATTTTTTTTTTCCTACTGTATCATGATATTCCCTTCCCAAAACAACCTATCAGGTGATTTGATCAAGTAGATAAGCTCTTGGGCCCTCTGGTATGAAAAAACTCCAGTCTGCTAATATGATTTCTCATTCTGAAGGAAATGAGAAAAATCCATCAATGACTAACCAATGACTTTGAACCCAGCCTGGCTATGACATGCAGCCTGGTTTCTCTGCCACCACCGTTTTCCAGGACTCTTTTTCTTCCTAAGAAACCCTAAAGCCCCCAAGGCTGTGTGAGATAAAAAGGTCTTAGGGAATAGACTGGCCTTAATTAATCATAAAACCACATCACACTTTGGATAGCTCATCCATATCTCCATCCACACTTGAAAAGAGAATTTATTAGCTTTGTCTGTTAAAGAGTCCCTGAAACTGTGGTTAAAATAAAAGACTATCTCTGAGTTAGAGCACTGGGGTTCATCTCAGGAATGTGGGGGGCATATGGTAAGAAGGAAGCCAAGGGTGAAGCCTTCAAGTCCTTTTCCCACACCGACCCTTGGAATAGTTCCACTTTTACATAATTTGCATATTGCAATTCCCATTAAGATTTTATTTGGAGAAAATCTTTTAAGGCAAAAAGAAAAACAGTAAAAATAATAATAAAAGTGAAAGTTGGTGATTTAGGGAGAAGGGAAGAAGGACTAACATTAGCAGAATGCCTACAAGGCCCATGCTAGGTACTTTAAAGGCCCTAAGCCCCAAGAAGATTATAATGTCTCCAATGCCTTCGTGTGTAATTCAAACTAAAAATCAATATTAAGCTACAAAATATAAAAAACTTACATGCATGCTGCAATAAAAAATAACTTTTTTCCATTTGTCTAATTTCCAAAGTCTGGGCATATTCATCCAAACCAGCTGTCCCCATTTTTCCATGCCCCTCTGATTTGCTGGGGCCATAAGCACATGCTCATTCATTTTTATGGGTTGATCCAATGGCCTGGGCTGGATTCTCTCCAATCTCCACAGTAACCTGAGAAAGAAAACATTGCCATTTCTGTCTCACAGACGAGCAAACTGGGGGCTTAAGGAAGCTAAGTAACTTGCTGAATGTCACATAAGGAGACATGAAAATGCACCCTGTACCAAATTCCAAGTTCATTCCAGTATTCCTGGTTTCAATCAAATTAGAACAACATGGTAAAGATGATGGCTTTAAAATAGAAAGCTTTCTCGGGAAATAGCCCCTTTCCACCTCCTCTCCCYTCCTACCAGGGCATTGCCTTGGCCTAAGACCAGTGGGTGCTCAAGTGTGAACAAGGGTAAAGTTGCCTTATGTCAAAGTCCACCCCACTGCCTGGGCGGAGGCCTCTCCCATCTGACTCCCAGTTTCTCTCTTGCAGGTTGAAACATCTCCCCAGGCCAGGCCAGGCCAGGGCTCTGCATGCGAATTCAGCCCTTGGCTAGGGCACATTAACCAGAGCCGGCAGCATGGACTTCGTCATGAAGCAGGCCCTCGGAGGTGAGCCCCGCTTCACCTTCCCTGGCCCACAGCACACTCCTGACCCCAGTCCTGGCCTAAGTGGGAGGGGCCTCAGCTCACTTGGCCCCTCTCTCCTCAACCCTGTCTGCCAATCTACCACGTCTCTTCTCTTCCCACCCCATTACAGGGGCCACCAAGGACATGGGGAAGATGCTGGGGGGAGAGGAGGAAAAGGACCCCGATGCACAGAAGAAGGAGGAGGAGCGGCAGGAGGCGCTGAGGCAGCAGGAGGAAGAGCGCAAAGCCAAACATGCGCGCATGGAGGCTGAGCGCGAGAAGGTCCGGCAGCAGATCCGCGACAAGGTCAGCACCACCTGGAAGGGTAGAGAGGGGCAGAGAGGGCAATAGGGCTCCGACTTCCGGCTCCCCTCAATCCTATGCTTTCACCTTAGACATTGTTCCTCCCTGAGCCTCACTTTTCTCATCAGAAAAAAATGGGTGTCAAAAAATCGTTATGGAGATTAGATAAGGTAATGCAMAGAGCAAGTGCAACAGGCCCACAATATCTTATGCAAGACCCTCCGAGTCAAAACTGCACGGAATTTGTAGATATTAGAGAAAATACTATAGGGCCCTGAACACCTGACAGTGTTGTTAGGTAGCACTTCCGGTGAATCTGGGTCTGTGTGCCAAACAGTCCTGTACCTGTCTGGGAGCACCATGCAACAAATCAAGACTGTAAAGTAATCTTCCTTGGTTCAAGCTGGGTGTTGTCACCGAAATTTAGCTCCAAACATACAGGAAAACTTTTCAGTGTCTAGATCTTTGGGGATTTCAAAAGAGCAAGAATTTATTATCAGTAGGTCTGAATTATAAAGGAAAGCCCAGTCTCTCTTTTATTAATTATCTACACTCTGAAGACCAGGCACAGTCCTACAGAGAAAGCACCCTTAGCCCCACTTTATAGATAAGGAGATTGAGGCTTAGGAATGCTCATGAGCATGTCAACCTATCTGCATGATCTGGAGATTCAGCTCTCTCCTGTGTCCTGCCCACCTTCTTCATACTCCTTTCTGCCTTTCTTCCCAGTATGGGCTGAAGAAGAAGGAGGAGAAAGAGGCAGAGGAGAAGGCAGCCCTTGAACAGCCCTGTGAGGGGAGCCTGACCCGGCCCAAGAAGGCTATCCCTGCAGGCTGCGGGGATGAGGACGAGGAGGAAGAAGAGAGCATCCTGGACACGGTGCTCAAATACCTGCCTGGACCACTGCAAGACATGTTCAAGAAGTAACCAGCCCTCCTGCCCCATTCCCTCTCCACTTGTTACTTTTTTATTTTATTTTAATTTATTTTGKTCTTTCTTTTCTTTTTATTCAGTTAAGTCTCAATTCTGAAGGGGAAAACCTCAGTTGGCCTCTGCCCCCCTTCCCTGGCCAGGGGCTCCTCCCCCTCAGCCCTCCCTTATACCCACCTTCATCCCAGGGTAGCCATTCCCATTCCACTCCCAAACAGCTTGAAAAAAAAAAAAAAAAAAAAAGGATTGACAGCTTTTCTCCAGCAGGGGGCGTTGAACCCAGGGCCAAAGGCACTGGGTGGCCCCCTCTGGAAGCCTAAGTTCTATGTTAGTGTGGTAACCCCCATACATTCCTTCGTGCTCCCCACTGCCAGGAGGACCACTGTCCCCAGCCAGCCAAAGTAATGACACATTCCAGCCCTGCCCAGCATGCTGATCTTTGGCTTCTGATACCTCAGTGGGCCACATGGTCAGGGCAGGGGCACTGAGTGGCCTGGCTCTGAGGAAGGGAATCAGGGTAAGCCTGTTCCATAAGGTCCTAGCCTGAGAGGGCTTGGGTCTGGCCAGGCTAGGGTCTGGGCAGGAGGTTGAGACTCTTCTCCCCTCTTCCTGGTGACACCCAGCCCAGGAGTACACCCTTCCCCAAACCCCTCCCGGAGAGGCATGGCCCCTGCCAAGTTGGTCCCTCTAAACAGATCCTCTTTGGACTTCAGCACATCTGTAGAGGAGCCCCAGGGAAGGGCAACCCCTTTTCCCCTCACCCCACTTAGGTCCTGGGACCCCACTGCCAGGTTGGACCCAGCTTGCCCAGCCAAGGGGCTGCCCAGGCCCACAGAAAACACTTGGAGCCATTGGGCAGTGATGGTCTATGCCATGGGACCCCCCCCCCCATTGGTGTGGCCAAGCTGCCCCCATTCCTATCCATCCCTCTTCCCCATTTTGTCCTGTCCATGTGCTTCCAGGGCCCCATGGTCCCCAGGAGGACCCTTCCCGGCCAAAGCCCCAAGCCACTGGGGAGAAGCCAATTCCCACTTGACAGAAGGCATCTATCTGTCCATTCATCCTATTGGCCAAGAACAAACTCTTCTCTGGGATGTATGGGACTGGCATTTGTCCCCCAACTACCCCCTCCCAGATTATCAAGGCTTCCCATTCAGTCAGTTGTATGAGAATGGGTTGAGAGAGGAGGGGGGAAAGCAAATGAGGGAGGAAAGTGTGAGTCCATTGTGATACTACGTGGCTGAGACTGTGTAGCAGCGATTGTGTGTCCCGAGGCTTTATGCATATATGTACAGTTAGAGTGAGGTGAGTCTTGAGAATGCCTGTGTGTTAGTTATCAAATCTCTCTTTTAGAGATTGTAGGTTAGGCAGCCTTGTGTATGCGTGCTTGTTTGAGGTAATGTATTTGAGTCAAGATTATGTCCTAAGTGTGTGATAACCATCTCATGTGTTTAAGATTGCATGTGTTAGCTTGAATATGCATGAGTTTTCAAAACGGCATTGTGTGTCCGGAGTGATAGATTCATGGTTGATGTAGAAGTGTGTGTTTGAGAGAAGTGTCAGACGTAGTAAGACTGTTGTGCACGTGTGTAGGGGTCTGAAAAGGCAGTTGTGTGCATGGATGTGTGCTTGGAGAGAAGGAACGTGGGGAAGACGCCCCCTCCAAGCCCTGAGACCCTTGGTCACAGATGGCTACATCCAACAGGAGACCTTGTCCTTGGCCTAGTGTCCTCTCACCCTTGGAGGGTTCCTGTCTGAGGTTCCCAGAATTCCACTGGGACAGACCCAGACAGTGCCCCAGGAAGCCATGCTAGCCCCCTACCAGGGCCTATCCCAAAAGCCGGGGCCAGGGAGGGGGCGACTTGCCTGCCCCTGAAGCCCCTGTCCCATTGGCCCCAGTTTGCATTCTGCGGGTTTTCCATTTTAGTGGATTTATGCTTTTATTTCAGAGAGACAGGAGTCTTCTCTGTCCGTTTCCAATAGTTAAAGCCATATCAGTTAGACTGCAATACTTTAAAGATGAGACAAAACAATCCATATGTTTAGGGAACCAGAACAATCCCCTGGTCTGTCCCTTCTCTGGGGAGCAGGGCCTCGGCAGCTCCAGCTCCCTGGACTTTCCATCCACCTCCGCCCCCGCCCCCTCCCCTTGTGCCCCATTGTCTGTCCGTGCCTGTGTCTGTGATGGGGAGCCACCTCGCACCCCTGTTGTCTGCTTGTCTGTTTGTCTTTTATCCAGGCAGGATGGTCATTCTCAAGAGGCCTGGGGTCTCAGACCAGAGACAGACAGGGCCCAGTTCAGGGGCCCCAGACCTCCCTAAATCCTGTGTGAGTCCCACTTGGACATAGGTGTGGATACCAGTATTGAGAGAGGTCTCCCCCTTGACAGAGACCCTCAGACCTTGAAGCTAATGCCAGGGCACAAGGTGATGCAGATGAGCAGGGGACCCAGCCATACAAGATACCCTAGGTGCACCTGAGGGACCCCAGGTCCTCAGATGGTGTCCCTGGTGGTCTCCACAGCCCCTCTGGATCCCCAGGGTGGGCTCAGGGCTTCTCAGCTCCACCTCAGTGCCCTCCAGGCTGGGCTGGCTTAGTCTGGGTGCACCTCCCAGGCTCCTCCATTCTGCTCCCAGGCAGCAGGACTTGAGGTCTTTCTGGAGGCAGGGGTCAGGGAGAGAGTTTCTGCCTGGCACGCACCTGGCTCTAGCCACTGCCAAGTGACCACTGTCGGGTCCAGGGGATAGAGTGACTCTCATTTCTGACAAAGATTTGACTGTGGGTAGAAGTCAATGGGTGGCCCAGAAAGGATGTCTGTCCAACCCACTAGTTGGGGGGGGGGACAAAATGTGCATGGGGTGTTGCAGCAGGGGAAGGGAGGGTCATATAACATACCTGCAATGGGAGATGTGTGTGACCCACTTGATAGAAGGAACATGAGTGTGTCACACAGAAATGGGGCAGTGTAACACACTGAGTGGGGAAGGCCCCAGAATTCAGCACACATACATGACACCCAGGGAGACTAGGGAAGAGCAATCATTGGTAGGCGGTCAAAATGGACTGAGGTCAAGGGAGCATGCATGTGCTTGCAGGGAAGGCGACCCAGGCTCCTGTGGTCTGGGATTTACCACCAGGGAGAAAGAAAAGGACTTCTCTGGATCTCCCTAGGCTGAGCTTTAGTGATGGACCAGGATTTCCAAATGTGGATGTCCCCTACTCTGGGTACAAAAGTGCCCGAAAGGTGTGTCCTTAACTGCAAAGCTTCACGAGGTGCTCCTTCAAATAGAAGCAGGAAGCCGAGAGGCCACCGAGGTGTATAAGACAAAGAAGAGAAGCATTGCAGCCCAGGACCCTTCATAGGTGGTTCAGCCAGTTGGCAAAGCAGCAGTGGCTAGAGGGACATGGGGAGACTCTCCAGCCCTAAGAGTCCCCAAATACCCAGCTGTCAGGAGTTCCCAGCCCAACAGCCCACCTGTTCCATCCACAGGCTCCTGACTGCACAGGGAGGCTAGGAGTCAGATCGACTCCAATGGGGGATGTCTCCCAGGTCTTAAGACCTTCATCCCACCAAATGTCCCTGGCTCCAGTCCCCACTCCTGTTGCCCTACCCTCTTCACTGGGGAGAGAATGGGAGGTGCTCATTGCTGGCCCTGGGGTGCAGGTGAGGAGTCCTACTGAGACCCAGGTGAGATGGACCATCCTGCTCACGCGGGGGAACCCCTTTCCTACATTTGTGCTGTGTCCTTGTTGCTCTGCTTCTTTTAAATGTGTCAGTGCCTAGGGGGAGGGGAGGGCCACTCCCTCATGCCCCCTTGAACCTGACCAAAAGCCATGGCTGTTGCTCCCCCCTTTGTATGATGCAAATGCTAAGATGTACAAAACCAACCATGACAAGAAAGAAAAAGACCTTGTACAGCAACAATGTGTCTGTCTCTCTGCTCTGTCCATCAGCACCACCAGGATTAAACAGAGGCACTGACTTACCATTGAGGAGAGACAGCCCACAGAGCTCTAGAGGCCCCAGAAAAATCTTCCATTTAACCCATCTTCTGGCAAGGACATGATGGAAATGACTCCAGAAATCAACTGAGACCAGTTGGGGCTGGCCCCAGAGTTCCAGGATCACTCACCACCTTATGGCAACTCTAAACCCCAGAGGCCAGGTGGTCAGGCTGAACCCCATATTCCAACTCTCACCACTCCCCCAAGCTCCTCAGGGTATGTTATTCTGAGAATACCATAAAGTCACAGGTGGGCACAAGTCTATAAATCAGTCATTCCACCAACATTGATGGAGCATCTACTCTCCACTCTCTGCCAGGCCATGGGTAAGAAGCTGGGGACGTACAAAGAGGGCTCTACTCAGCATTCCTCCTGGACACAGACACTTCCCAGGTCTTTTTGAGGAGTCAGGACCAGACCAGAAACCCCCTCCTCTCTTGCATTCCCTCCAGTACCTCACCCGAAATTCTCAGCACTTCCCATTGCCAAGCATGGGGTCTCCCACATCCTGGCTACCCTCTTCCCTCCCACTCATCCTCTCCCCATCTCCCAGCCCCTCCTAGGAGACTTGCCAAAATGCATTCCCTGCACAACACCCTCCTATGCCTTGACATCTGCCTACAGGATAACATCTAAATGGTCAAAATGGTCCTGAGTGATGACCCCAATCTAGGTCAGACCTTCACCCACCTCGATTTCAAGTGCCCTCAGTCACCACACATACCATGCTGTGTTATGCTTGCATATCCTATCCCCTGTGCCCTGGATGAATGACACCTCCCCTTCCTTGGTATACTCCTCAGACTTCTCAAGATCCAGCTCATATATCATCTCCTCTATGAGGTCCACCCTGATACAGTTCCTTGTCCCCAGAGCAGAGTCTTACTGTATTTATGTAACACAGAGCATCACAGCTGAGTGTTCTGGGTCACATTCTACCACCAGAACGATGATCTTGAACAAGTCACTTAACCTGAGTGTTTGCTCACAGGTAAATAGTATGAGAACAATTCCTCTGACCTCCATGGCTGTTGTGAGAAGTAAACGGGGCCCTGCATACACATTCTTATCACTGAGCGTCAAGCATTCTGTGCATGGCTCTTTGCAAATTCCATTATAAGTTGTATCACTGTGCATGTCTCCCTCCCTAACTTAAGAGCTCTATATGGGCAACACATACTTATTATCTCTCAA